GCACTAGCCTGAGTGGGCGGTTCTTGTCGGTTGTGAATGACAATGCGTATGTTGACGGACGCTGTGATGCGAGAGTCGAGAAATATACATTTAATTAATTAAATTCTCTCAGTGATGGTGTGTACAATGCAAGGAAATAAAAACATTCGGGGCTTTACTGAAAAAACAGCCCCCTTAGCCCACCCCTAGCGCCGCCCCTGTCTGCGATATTCTGTTGAAAATGGAGTTTAATCGCCCTCCTGTGGTGAACTGTGTGAATTACACTGCTGAACCGTATTCAGAGCGCCAGAGGAAAACTGCACTAAACTCTGCACTTACTTTGCATTTATTTCACATTGTTTGATACATTATTAATTTAAAGCAACATAGTAAAAAAAATCTAGAAAATTTCGCTTTTGTTTAATGGAAATATATTCTTATATCTGTAATATCAATTTAAAGACTCACGTCTAAACGCCCTCCTGTGGTGAATTGTGTGCATTACACTGCTGTTAATTATCTCATTTCTGTTAACCTTCAGGGATGGGCAGTATTTCAGATACATGTATTTAAAATACGTATTTGAAAAACAAAATACTATTTTGTATTTTAAAGCCTTTGGAAAAAAAATCAAATGTAATTTCTATTTAAATACATTTAGGATGAGTATTTTTGTATTTTCAAAATACTCAAAATACTTTGAGCCAGAATCCTAGAAGATCAGGGGAAGGATTTGGACATCTTGAACCAGTATCCACTTATTAGACAGCTGTTTGTGAGGTTCAACACAATCATTCCCTCTTCAGCTCCTGTAGAGCGCTTGTTTTCCTTTGCGGGTCTAATCGGTACATTTTATTTGAAGGGGTGTGCATAACACTGACATGACACTGTCATAAACATGACATAACACCTGTCATGAACATGAAGGAGTCTTTATGAATGTTTATGACTTTTGTCATTAAGTGTCATTCGGTAAATTATGACAATTTTAATGCAAAGTTGACATTGTTTAAAATGAAGAGTTCAGATGCAAAAGCCTCTAAATGCCATTTGAAATTTTCTTCTTTAATGATGATTTTTATCAAACTTGTACATTTAAGTTCAGTAATTTCACTTAAATAACAATTAATAGGTAATTATCATTGCCATTTAAGTGAAATCACTGAACTTAAATATACAAGCTTGATAAAAATCATCATTAAAGAAGAAAATTTCAAATGGCATTTAGAGGCTTTTGCATCTGAACTCTTCAAATGTCTTTGTTATGACAACTTGACATTAACCAAGAAATCATAACCTGTCAACCTGCCATGTTTATACCTAGTCCAACGTGTTCCACTTTACTTGAGGTAAGGGGAAATATTAATGACACTGTTGTTAAAACATTTGACAGTGTAATAACCCTTAATGACATCTTTATAACTAGTACAATGTGTTCCACTTTACTTGAGGACAAGTAAAATATTCATGTCACAGTTATAATGGTGTCATGACGGCCAAAGTCAAAACCAACCACATATGACAGTAATGTAATGTTAACGCAAAGCTAAATAACTTCTTTAAGTTTGATAATTAGACCTGTTATGACATTTGTGACAGGTTATGATTTCTTGGTTAATGTCAAGTTTTCATAACAAAGACATTTTAAACAATGTCAACTTTGCATTAAAAGTGTCATGTTTATGACAGTGTCATTTCAGTCTTATGCACACCCCTTCAAATAAAGTGTTACCGTTTAATCAATAGGCCACACAGACGACGTCTTAAACCCAAACTTTTTGAAAAGCTGGTGGTGCTAAAGGGAATCGAATAGATAGATGTCTGAAACACATAGGTACACCACCTGGAGGAGCAGTAGAATATCATGTTTAAAGCAGTTTTTCCAAAGATGAAGTTTGGATCAATGTTCCAGAAACTGTTTGGATTTTCCACAAATCTTTTAATCCAGTTGATTTTTAATATCTCATTGAAAAGTGAGAAGTCAATGACCGATAAACCCGCCTCATCAATTTTATTAGTCAAGATATTTTTCCTGATTTCATGAGGCTTCTTCCTCCATATAAAGTTATATAATAGTTTGTCTAGATTGACACATTGTAACTTATGAATTTCTATTGATGTAAATAAATCTGCTGCTCGTGAGAGACCTTCTGCTTTAGAAAGAAGAACCTGCCATACGTAGATAAATCTCTTGATCCAAGAGTCAAACTTTAATGAATATAGTCGTGTAGTAAAGAGATATTACTCTCTGTCATCAACTTTTTTTTTAGGACTGATTTTATTCCATTATAAGTTACTAAATTCTTTATATTTATGCCTCATATTTGACCCGAATGCTTATTTTTAACAGAAAACTGCTCACATTTTGAAAGATTTAGATTCAAGCCTGAGCTTTCAGAAAATTGGCTTACAACCAGTGTTGTGCAAGTTACTTCCAAACTGTAATACATTAGGTATTACTTGTTACTGTTATTTAAAAGTAATTCATTACCTTACAATATTACTGTCTCAGAATTGTAATGCGTTACATTACTCATGTATTACTTTTTAGTTACTTTCACCAAAATAACTAAGTAGAACTTAACTTTTGGGCTGTAACGATATGCAATATGAAACCGAAATCGCGATTCGCCACACGACTCAGATCCACGAACCTACAGAATCGCGACACACCTCTTCCAACTCCAGCGTTATTCTCCTTACCGTCCAGATCCAATGCTGCCTTAGGCTATCAGTATTATTTGAAGTTAACATTATAAAATACGTAGACCTACACCACAAAACTATTTGAGGATAAATTATTTAAAATTGGGGAAGTCCAGCATTATGGACATGACATTTGCAGTCAAAACTTGAAATAAAAATTCTCAGAAAATTCATGTATTGAAACGTATATAGGCTACTTCCTTAAAGGACTCCAGACATTAGACAAATATCAGTCTATGTTTTATTTTTAATATTAGGGAAAAGACACACATTCATGCGTGACAATAAAATAGGAGACAAAATCGATTTTTTGTAATTCTGTTAATTACACTGCGCAAATCGGATGAGGAAGGGTTGGCTCTCCAGTCTCCATAGAACTTAAAATATTTTATAAAATATTATATTAGTTTTCGTGTTCGTGTTCGCATTTATGAGGAAAAAACAATGTTACAGACGTGACCGCTCTGAACTGGCACTAAAAGACTGCTTTAAAACTTTCACATAGTCTGTTGCCTTTAAGAAGTAAAAGCAGACAATACACTATAATACAACTGTAATACAAGCCTCACTGAACATGTAACGAGTAAAATATTACTGAAAATTGATTAGTAATGCCTTACACTACTGCGTTACAGCAAAAAGTAATATGTTACAGTAATGTATTACTTTTGTAATGCGTTACTCCCAACACTGCTTACAACATTTAGTGCAACTCCTATTTGGGATTCATTTTTTAGAAACAGGGTTGTGTCATCAGCCAGCGGTCAGATTTGTATTTCTCTTTCATTTAATGTAATTCCTTTGAATGAACTCTTGTGAATTAAATGACAGAGAGTTTGAGCTTCAATCCCCAATAGAAGAGGCGAGGTGGGGCAGTCTTGGCGGAGACCTTTGTGTGTGTGAAATCTAGATGAGTTTCCATTAGCCAATCTAACACAACTGTTTCCTCACATGTACAGAGTTTATACAGCATTAATACAATTCTCACCAAAACTAAAACAGTTTAAGGTGTCAATAATAAACTTGTGGCTCACCGTGTCAAAGGCTTTTTGAAAGTCTAAGAATAAAATAAGGTGTTGTTCATCATCTAGAAAGTCTTTGTATTCAATCAGATCCAGAAGTGAATGTTATTGGCTATGTGACGATCTTTCATGAAACCAGATCGGCATTCATCAATTAAAGTGTGTAATTTAGATTTGAGGCGTTTTGCTAAGATAGATGCTAAAATCTCACGGTCATTATTTAGCAATGTAATGGGTCGCCGATTGTCAATGAACAGCGAGTGTGTGTGAGGTTTTGGATGAAGTGTGTGTCGCCTCAGAGAAGGAGGAAGATCCCTCTGTCAAGATATTCTCTGAAGACAGCCAGAAGAAATTTACCTCAGAGAAACATTTCTACATCTCAGAGCTCAGACCATCACAGCCTGGGGATTTATTGTTCTTTAATTGAGTTATTCCCCAAATAATCTCCTCAAGAGTTATGTCCTGACAGCAGATTTGATTATATTCATTACAGTCATTATTTAGCAATGGGTCTCCGCTGCCCTGCTGAAAATGTGAAGCAGAAACGCTTAATATCAGATAACGTCCATAATAATTGTACTTTGGGTTTGATTTTTTTTTGACCGTTGTCATATTGTCAACATGGCCGGCTACTTGAAGCAGAATAGTGGGCCATATATGTCTAATGCTTAAAGGCTTTCTTCTTCATAAAACGAGTCGGACATCATCACATTTTTGTATACATTTTTATTTATTTACATTAGTAAGCTACATGACATCGTCTTTCAAAACATGACCTGCGTGAAAGAGAAAAATAAATGAATGTGTCTCTGTCCCCAGCACATTTCAGACCACACTGACGCCCATGGGTTCACATTCAGATTCACAGTGATTACTGACCCTCATCTTTGACAAAACTGGCCCTGATTTGTTTTAAGATAACTGGGTCACATTTGCTGCAACATATGTGGGTCATATTTGATTTACACCCAGATTAGTCACTGTCGATTGTGCCACATTTTTGCCATAGGTGGCCCACATTTGGTTTGTGATATTTGGGCCATATTCATTATTTATCATATGAGACACTTTAGGCCCACATTCAGATTACACATTGCCATGAGTGCCGCATCTTTGCCTAAAAAGGCCCACATGTGATTTAAAATATTTGGGCCATATTTGCCATTTTACATGTGGCCCACTTCAGGCTCACACACATTTTGTCGGGCCATAAGAAGGCCTGCAGTGCCGCATCATCGCCTGAAGTGGCCCACATCCGTCTGCTATCTGAGGAGCGAGTGAAACACACACAAATGCTGTTAACTGGGGAAAATGTTTAGTCGGTCTGTAGAGGAGAAGAGACTTCATCCACAGAACAAACACAATATACTGTACATCTGTGCATCAGCAACACACACACACACATAACTAACTTCATATACAATAAAACAATAACAAAAAACATATTCTGTGTATAAAATGTTACAGAGATAATGTGAAGGTTTAAAGGTTACATGCAAACTTTATATCTTTTGAAACATTTATGTGCTGTACTTGACAATCACGTTCATGATTAGAAATATCTGAATAATTCTGGATGAGTTTAGTCTAAACATTATTATATTTGCAGGCCTGATAGTGAAGATTTCTGCTGACACTCATCTGAGCTTCTTCCTCTGTTCCACCTTTAATTACAACTAAACCATCATTTGGCTGAATAATAAACCAACATTAATCATTCAATATCACATGTTTCTAATACGCATGCTAACACACACGCTGCTTTATTTAATAGTGAAGTCTGAGTCTCTTCCACCTGTATGAAACACATTTACACATGTATTTCTCCTCATAGACAGCAGTGAGACTCTTCTGTGGATCACCTGATGGTTTCTGCTCCTCTCATCTCCGTTTCAGAGACTTAAACCTTAATGGAAATCCACTGACGTTTTATGATCAATCTTCATCTACACTGTAAAGTGGAACAGAAGAGAAAACAATCAGTGTTCAGTGGAACAAAGTGCTGTTTTTCTTCAGTAAAAGTAAGTTAAATTGAATTCCTGTAATCAGATTAATTACTGACTTTACATGATCTTGGATAGAGATATTTGTTTTTGAATATAATAGATGTAAAGCCTGAATCATGTTCATATGTGTGTCTGTGTGTGTCGGTGCGACTCCTATTGAGTCTCTGTAAAGGAGAAACTAATGAGTGTACGGCGTATGGAATAAACCACAGCGAGCAAATACTAATGTTATTTTGAGTTAAACACAAACCTTTAGTTAAAGCCGTTTGTCCTCTAGTTTAAACATGTTTGTAGGCTCTTAGTAAATAACTGAGAGTAAAGTAAGTGTCGAGTAGTGTGACGTGTTGCTTGTCACAGTAAAAACACACTAGAGACAGAGACATTGCTCATGTGAGCTGGACGCTGTGAGCTGAAGCTGGAACTGCACTGATTTTAGCAGGAGTGCAGCGTTTCCTACAATCTGACCAAGTCTGTTTCACACTCAAATGATTCACTTCTACTGACACAGTTCATAAAGCAGGTGTTGATGTATAAAGCTGTGACAGTGAGCTTTTCTTCTCTTTCCTCCTTTGTGTTCAACATTTCAATAACTTCAATAATTATGTTCTCACACAAACCCTTTGTTGCAACAAATCTTATTGATAATTTTCTTTCACGAATATTTGAAAGGTTTGTTCACATATCAGAGGAAAATGAAGATGTCTTTAATATCTCAGTGATGTTTCCTCACCTCAGGACACAGTTTGAGTCTCGTAGTTCGTCTCTGAGCCGCTGCTTTGAGTCTCCGATCTCATTGTCTCTCAGATCAAGCTCTTTTAAAAACTGCAGAGCTTTTGAGTTCGTCAAAGACTGAGTTAAAGAAGAAACATCTGTGATGTCACAGTACTGAAGACTAGAGAGACACAAACAGAGGAAGAGAGATTATCGTACAAACAAATCATGAATGTGAAGAATTTTACACAGATATAATGTGAACTCAGACTCACTGTCAGATATTGAGAATAAAGTGTTTTAGTTTAATAAACCCAGAAAGTGCACTGCTATAACCAATGAAACATAAGCCCTGCTGTCTTCAAATAAATAAACTTCAGTCACACTGTAATTGCTGTACAGTATAATGACACTAACTGTAGTTTCTCCAGCTTGAATTGTGGGTTCATCAGTAGATCACTGAGGTTTTTCACTCCAGAGTCTCCTAGATTATTCACACTCAGGTCCAGCTCTCTCAGGTGTGACGGGTTTGATTTCAGAGCTGAAGTCACATCAGAACAACCTTCATCTGTCATATAACAGTATCTTAACCTACATTAGCAGAGAGAGAGAGAGAGAGAGAGAGAGAGAGAGAGAGAGAGAGAGAGAGAGAGAGACCACTTTCTCTTAAAAATGTGCATATCATTATTCATTTTATAAAATTCATACTCTATTTTAACTCTGGATTCTACCAAAGCTTTGAACAATTCTACCATATTGATCCTTTTATCCTCATTTTCAAGTTTAAATGCTTTCCAAATAGTTAACTTTGCTTGACCAATCAAAAAATTGGAAAAGGTGCAGGACTCACTTTGAGACTTAATATATTTAGACCCAAAAATAAATACTGTTTTTGAAAAATTCCAACCAAAACCTTCAAATATATTTTCTAAAATATTCAAAAGAGGTAAAATTTTGTAACAATCGAAAAAAATGTGAAACACAGTATCCGATACATTGCAAAATTTACAAACAGAAGATGTACTAAGGTTGCACTTGAACAAAAAAGTTTTTGTTGCTAATGCACAGTGCAGGATACGCCACTGTAAATCTCCTGATCGTTTTGGCAATGGACTTTTATAAAACAAACGCCATGAAGGTAATTGCACATCAGGAGCAGATAAATAACTCCTCTATTTTGTATCTGTCTTATTCTTAAGTTGTTCACAAAATCTTGACTTCACACAAGCTGTATACAAAAGCTGCTTACTACTGTCTGAAAAAGAAACATGCAGAAGTTCTTTTAAGGAAAGAAGTTGTCTCATTTGTCCATTATCCTGCCAATTATATGGTGTTACAAATAATTCAGGAAAAGAACTTTGGTTTAATCCATCAACAAAAAAGTTTTCAAGAAACGTATTAAATGATGTAAGAAATGACGATTTTAACTTACTTAAAACATTCTGCACTATTCTTTCTGACTTCCTACCCATTTGTTTGGTTATTTCTTGTGCACAAAGCCATGTACTATGTTCTGTGTCAACTAAATCTGCCACTTTTGACACACCAGATGAAATAAAAGTGTTAATTCCAGTACTTGGCAAGTTAGACGGATGGCATAACCATGGATTATGAAAGAGCGGTTCTTCAAGACCAAAATGATCCTCTCTTTCCACCTTAAACATACTCCATGCTCTTAATACAGACTGGTAGAATCCTTTTATACCAAACCCTTTGATTGCATTGTTAGAAATGAGGAATAATTTTCTATCAAGTCCAATTTTACTAACCGCTCTTAACACTGCTAAACCATACATAATCCACGGTTGTGGATCAATGTCATACAGCAGTTTTTGAGCTGATTGTAATCTCATAGCTTTCCATTTAGCAGTTAGATCAATGAGACCCTGACCACCCTCAAACACAGGTAAACTCAGTATGCCTGAATGGACCCAATGATGTCCTCCCCAAAAAAAATTCACAAAATGTTTCTGGAGTAACTGTAAAAGTCCAGCAGGAGGGTCTAAAACAGTTAGTCGATGCCACAACATTGAAGCAGCTAAATTGTTTATCACTAAAACTCTGCCTCTACATGATAACTGTGGCTGAATCCAATGGGCTCTATGCACGGCGGTATTTCCGGTGAAGCATTAGGGATGCTCGATAACTTCCGCCGATCATAGAGTCCAATGCAATACCGAGAATTTATATTGAATTTTATACTCCATGGTTATACTAATGAAACGTTAGTCACAAAAACAGATAAAACAGACACCCCTCGTTGTGTTTATGCTTCTTTTTAAAATTATATTAAATAAACATAACTATATATAAAATTACATCTAAACGTATGTACGTTTCGTTTCAAAGACGGGAGGACAGTAAATATTGAAGACTCTGCCATAATCCCGTTTTCTCCGGTTTTCCTCCGCTTTAATCTACACAACCGGAAATGGACGAGCATCCTTACGTCAAATGCGGAACTTATGCGTGCATATAGCCCATTCCACCTCTTCAATCGTCCCAATATCTTTTCAACCACTCCATCCCAATTCCTTGTCATATACTGCTGAGTGCCAAAACAGATTCCAAGGATCTTCAATCCCTCTGTGTTCCAGTGGCACTGTTGTGGAAGATGAGGTGGAGCTTCTTCCTTCCACTGACCACAAAGTAATGCTTCCGTTTTGTTCCAATTTACCTTCGCTGAAGAGGCTTTTTGAAACCAGTCCAGACACTTGCTCAATTGGAAAATGTCTTCTTGGGATCTTATTATGACTGTAATGTCATCAGCATAAGCAATAAGCCTTACTACAGTAGTGTCCGATATATTGGGGTTGAGGACTGAAATACCTTGCAGTTTTTCTCTTAGAACTCTCAATAAAGGTTCGATAGATATTGCGTATAGGAGTCCTGAGAGGCTGCATCCTTGTCTTACACCTCTGCGCACAGGAAAAGTTCTTGTTAGCGTTCCGTTTATCTTCATCATACTAAAAACATCAGTGTAAAGGATCTTGATCCATGAGATGAAATGATCTCCAAATCCGAAGGCTGCTAAGGCATTAAAAAGGTATTCGTGGTCGACTCTGTCGAACGCCTTTTCCTGGTCAAGTGATAAAAGACCAACATCAAGCCCATAAATCTCAGTAAACTGCAACAGATCTCGTACAAGAAAAAGGTTATCAAAGATAGAACGTCTTGGGATACAATAAGACTGGTCTTTATAGATTATTGAAGCCATAACATTTTTCAGGCGGTTTGTTAATGCTTTTGAAAGTATCTTATAATCTATCCCTAAAAGGGAGATAGGCCGCCAGTTCTTCAAAAGTCCTAGATCTCCTTTCTTTGGCAGTAACGTAATTATTGCTCTTCTACAACTGAGAGGAAGGATTCTTGATTTTTCACATTCAAGAAACACAGAATGCAGATCTGGTCCAATCAATGACCACAAAGCCTTGTAAAACTCGGAAGTCAGTCCATCCAGTCCTGGAGATCGTCCCACAGACTGCTGTATAGCAGCCTCACTCAACTCTTCAAATGAAATTGGTTTTTCTAATTGTGTCTTCTCATCTTCATTCAGTTTTGGAATTCCAGTAAGAAAATAATCTGTTGCTTCAGAATCACAAGTTTCAGCACTATACAGTTCTTCATAAAAAGACAAAACTTGTGAGGTAATTTCTCTCTTTTCAGTTGTTTCTCTTCCATCGGACAGTTTTAGATGAGTAATTAGCTTATTTTCTCGAACTTTTTTCTCCAAAGCGAAAAAGAATGTTGTTGAAGAGTCCATGCTGTTAAGCTGAGTAAATCTTTTTTGTGCCATTATGCCATGATCTCTTTCTTCATGCAAATTTTTCAGAAGAAAAGTATGTTGTTCCAGCAAATCTGCACTTGTTCCAGTGCTTTCACTTATGGAGCTGTTCAATCTCATTATTTCTTGTTCCAAGTGTTCGATTTTATTCTGAATTTCTTTTGTATTATTTCTTACATACTGTTGGCAAAAAGACTGTATATGGATTTTTCCGATGTCCCACCACTGACTCAGGGACTTAAACTCTGTCTTTCTCTCTCTCCAAGCTCTCCAAAAGAAAGCAAATAAATGCACAAACGTGCGATCTCGTAACAGAGTATTATTAAAACGCCAATAAGATTTAAAAGTATTACTCGATGTTGTAACTACAACAGAGACATAGAAATGATCAGAAATTGGATTAGGAACAATATTACAATCATAAAAGTTTTCTCTTCGACATTTTTGAACATATATTCGATCTAATCTAGCGCCCGATATTGTATTGGAATTAACCTTCAGCCATGTATACTGCCTACTTTTGGGGAAAGATTGTCTCCACACATCTACAAGAGAATAAAAATTAACCACTTTCTTAAGAGCTTCAGCAGAATTAGGATGCGGTTCGTCATGATTCCTATCAACTGTATTATCAAGAGTACAATTGAAATCCCCAGCCACAATGATCAAGTTATCACAAGGAATACTAGACATTGCGTCCTGTAATTTCTTAAAAAAAAAAAACTCGTTCATACCCAACATTAGGCGCATATATATTAATAAAAGAAAAAGACAGACCTTGCAAAGTAATATCCACCCGCTGCATTCTTCCAGGAATAATTTCAATCATATTGGAAGCATTACCCTGAACGCTTTCCGATATGAGAACAGCGACTCCAGCACTTACACTGGAACCATGGCTAAGAAATACCTGTCCTCTCCATTCACTTAGCCATTCTGCCTGGTTAAAAACATCTGTGTGTGTTTCTTGTAAAAAAATCACACTTGACTTTTTAAAAGCCAAAAATTTGAAAAGTGCATTTCTTTTTTCTTTATTTCGACATCCATTCACATTTAACGATCCGATATTTAAGGATGTCATAATATCTTAAACCAGCAGGTGATATTTATACAACACTGTCTTTCTCGGAACTCCTAATGACTATTTTTTTTCGTATCTTGACAAATCATCTTCTTTACTTTAGTCATAATTTTTTTGAGACGATAACGTTTTTGTCTGCTAAACTCTTCAATGGTTGTATTTGTCATGACATCTCTACAAGATGCTAAAAAACTTCTTAAATCTGGAAAAAACAATTCAAATTGTGGGTTCCGTACACCTTTTGTTTCGTCAAGGAAAGCACTAATCTCTTTTGTAGAATAGATTTTTATTTCACAGCCACTCAATTCTGATGTGCCTGTTTGAGAGTCAATGTCTCCCATAAAAAAACTCCCTACACTCTCAGTCTCACATTCATCTGAATCACTTTCAGACCTGGCGCCACTAGAGCTGGCTGTAAATGACTGACTACAACTTTCATTTACTTCTGATTTTTCATCATTTTTGCAATTTGTTTCTACATACTCCATCATTTGAGCTTTATCTCTGTTTTTGACCTGAGAAGTAACTTTTTGTGATTCTGTACTTTCATTTTGTTCCCCTACAGCATTAACACTTGTAGAACCTATGCCATCTCCAGTGTTTTCACTATTCATCTCTACATTTCTCTCAGCAACTTCATCTACCTCGCAAATGGCCGCGTTGTTTTCTGCGACCGCATTTTTCCCCTTATCGGCCGCATTCTCCTGAACAGCCGCGTTTTTTTCTTTATCGTCCGCATTTTTCCCCTTAACGCCCGCATTCTCCTGAACACCTGCATTTTCCTCCGGAACAATTATTTGTGAATCTGCCAAGATGTTAACGTTCTGTTGTTTGGGACATGTCTGTTTCTGGTGTCCATGTTCACCACATAAAAAACAGCGCAAATTATCTGAAGTGATAAAGATTGTATAATCTTTACCATCAACTGCTATTTTTAGCACCAGATTGAGCGGCTCATTTTGTGAATTAGGTATCATGTAGGTGAAACGTCGGAAAGACATGACATGTTTAAAGTTTGGATTTTTAAGACCCAATGGAATCATCTTAATTGGAGCAGTTAATTTTCCGTAGCGCTCAAGAATTCCTTTCAAAGTTCCTTCTTTTATAAACGGTGGTACGTTTGAGAGTACAACTTTCTTAGAAGGATTTGACAAAGGCATTACCGGCAAGAATGTATTATTAACAACAAGTCCTTTCTCTAACAGTTCATCGACCATTGAAACTTCCTTAAGAAAAATGACAAGTGCTCTATTCATCCTTGAGGCAGATTTAATGTTTAAACCACCGACCTGTTCGCCGATCGCTATCAGTACATCCTCAATGGACGTAGAGTCATCCGGTGTACACTTGCAACCATGGTTGAGGGTCAAAGGGGAAAAATCACTGCCTAACTCCATACCTGCGCGCGCAAAAATGCGCTGACCGTAGTCAGCGCGCTGAAATTTATTTATTTATTTTACTTCAGTTTAATAATTAAAAAGAGAAAAAAAGAAAAACAGAGAACGCCGAAAAAACAACGTGCTCTAGTGCAAACACTCTCACGCGCTACCCACAATCCTCAGAGAGAGAGAGAGAGAGAGAGAGAGAGAGAGAGAGAGAGAGAGAGAAAATGAAGAAAATAAGAGACTCTTTATTCTGTAAAGTCACATCATCTTCATCAGCAAATAAAACAGAGGAAGAGAGATCTTCATCTTTATTTCACCAGATCACAAAATAATAAGGTGAAAATGTTTGTACAAATATAATGTTAATGTGTTCTAGTTTAAACAGTTGAAGTGATTTTAAGCATTTTGATTCTTGTATGTGAATGTGACTGACCTCAATCTCTCCAGTTTACAGTGTGAATCCTTCAGTACGGCACATAAGTGCTTCACTCCTGTGTTTCCTAGATTATTCCTGCTCAGGTTCAGCTCTCTCAGGTGTGACGGGTTTGATTTCAGAGCTGAAGTCAGGATGAGACTCTGTTTCTCTGTAATACTGCATCCATACAGACTGAAGACAGAGAAATAACAATAGTTCACATCTATGATGATCATCTTATTGAAGAGCTACAGCAGCATTTAGTTTCCAATAGTCTGTTTTAAAACCCAGTCACACTAGTTCTGTGCGCTGGAAGACACTGTTTCTTCTCTTTCATTTCTAACTATTTATTTGACGTCTCTCTTCTTTATTCTCTGTTGAAAAGGCAGATTTCTGTGTGTACACAATCAGTACATTGTATCAGATGCTGGGAATTAAACAATTACTATCTACACTCTAAAAAGTTTTATATGATTTACTACATTTTTTTGGTGAAAAATGTTCACACTCAAAAATATTGATTTTAAATTTTATTTTCATTTAATTTCATTTTTAAGCAGTGAAATCAATTACAATACACTGTATAAGCCAACTAGAAAAAAAGCACACAAATGTGTATATGGAAACCCAGAAAGTGCACTGCTATAACCAATGAAACATAAGCCCTGCTGTCTTCAAATAAATAAACTTCAGTCACACTGTAATTCAGTGGTGGGCCATCAGGGCCAGCAAGGCCTTCTCTGAACACCATCAGAATCACTGACTTGCACTTTAATATATTTTTTGCATGAATATTAAATTTTTCCCAATACTTCATTCTCTTAATTTCATAGCTTTTCTCTTGGTTGTGCTGCTTCCAGTATTGTGTTTTTATGTTAGAGATTGTATCCAATCATATTTCAGCCATCATGTGTTTCCAGGGTCAAATAAATCTGCCTGGAGGCCTTCAGAATCGACAGTGCAGGCGCCTGTAGCTTAAAATGAAAGGCAATGAAACTGTTTCTTTAACCAATCAGATAATCCGTCAGATTTAATCAGCCAATCAGATTTCACTTTGACTGCAGCGGGGTCATCTAGCAGGCGAATAATAACATCTGTATTTTCTCGTTCTTTGATTGGATGCGCGTACTATTACTGGTAGTATCCGCATCTGTAGCGAACTGCATAAACTAAAATATATTCCTGTAGATGTAATAGATTTCAACCCACAAATTAATGTTTCTTTCCCTCCTCGACCCCCAGCAGAAAAAAACCCTTATTCAGCCTGAGCTAAACGCAGAGTAACGGGACTCTATTCGATCTCTCCGGGTAAAAACAGAACAGATTAATGTAAGTTATGAAACGAATGATTTTGAAGGCAAAAGTCCCGCTGATCTCGTTGATTTCGGTCAAAACTCTGTGTGAGAGCATGGGGCAGCTGTACACATCGTCATGTTTTACAGTGACTGTGCTTCTGTCGAACAGGCACTCTCAGCCATAAAGCAAATTAAAATTTATGCTAGAAATAAGACGAGACAGACACGACATTATTGGAACTGAAACGCAGTTAGAACCTGTACGACAGTAATTGAAGTCTTCTTGAGGAAAGAAATAAGGATGGATTTTGTGTAAAAAAAAATAATCTGTAGTTTTGGTGAGTATATGCTTTTCCCCCCGTGGTGAATATGATTTTCTTCGGAATTTTTTGTATAAATTTATGATCGAAACTTAATTTTTTTCAAACAATCATACTATTGTAACGTCTGAAAAGGGACTATTGTAACCCTTGAATGACAAGATAAGTGAGGCTTCGTTTCTGAACTTATAATCGGATTCGGAAGGCAAGAACCACTTTACAAACGCACCAGCCGAACTCACACGCTCGTTTCTCTCTACCGGCCTCTCCCGAACTCACCGCATAACCCAATAACTGCCGGTGCAAAATAAAAACAACAATTATAGAGAGTCTTTACGCTGATACACTATTACAGTTTTTCTCGATTGTTTACACACATTTTCTGAAAGAATGCCTCATATTCTCAGAACTCTACACACAAATCTAAAAACACTCACACAATTGGCAAAACCCCTCAATTCTCCTGCAAAATGAAACTTTACATTCAAAACAATGTTATTTCTTCTCAAAATGGTATTTTGTTTTCAAATGACACACACAAACCATCATATGAATAGACATTTATAAGAACCAGTTGAACACTGATGTGCTCAATGTAAAACACTACGATCAATGGAAAACACTTCTTCTCCATTCATCATAATGACTTGGGCCTTTTTTGTTCAGTGTTACACTTACTACAGATATTACATACATAACTGTGTTGTAAAATATTTGAGAATATTGTTTTTATACCCAGAACACACAAATACATGGTAACAAATATATTTTATTTTTCCCACAAAATCAATGGGAGATCGATCCCACATTTTGTACACCCCAACCAACACAAAGTTGCACATACAGTGGTCTACATACAAAACAACAGAATTTTTTATGCTGTTACAGTAAAAAAAGAAATAAAAAAAAATATCTATGCTGCATCCTCTCTTTGGTTTTGGTATTTTATGCTAAAGCTCTGATCGCTAATTGTAAAACTGTGTGAAATGTGTTTGCCCATGTGACGAGTCAGTGTGAATATTTGAATGGCAGTGTGTTCCTCATGAAAACAAGAGATTTTCTGCATGAAAATTGTGCCAAATGCAGAGAATTTGTGTGTAGTTTTTTGAAAAACGTGTGTTTTAGAACTGCAATTTGAGTGTAAAGCAGGAATTGTGCTTGTAGTTCAGCAGAATTGGTTCAGGGGGTTGGTGAAGGAGTTACATGTTGTGGTCATTGTGTCTCAAGTACCAGAAAATGTGTGTAAACAATTGAGAAAAACTGTAAAAGTTATTAATTCAGGTAGGACAGACGGCCTAGGTGTGAAATGCACGGCCCACCACTGCTGTAATTGCTGTACAGTATAATGACACTAACTGTAGTTTCTCCAGCTTGAATTGTGGGTTCATCAGTAGATCACTGAGGTTTTTCACTCCAGAGTCTCCTAGTTTATTCACACTCAGGTCCAGCTCTCTCAGGTGTGACGGGTTTGATTTCAGAGCTGAAGTCACATCAGAACAACCTTCATCTGTCATATAACACCAGTTTAACCTACATTAGCAGAGAGAGAGAGAGAGAGAGAGAGAGAGAGAGAGAGAGAGAGAGAGAGAGAGAGAGAATGAAGAAAATAAGAGACTCTTTATTCTGTAAAGTCACATCATCTTCATCAGCAAATAAAACAGACAGAGGAAGAGAGATCTTCATCTTTATTTCACCAGATCACAAAATAATAAGGTGAAAATGTTTGTACAATGTTAATGTGTTCTTGTTTAAACAGTTGAAGTGATTTTAAGCATTTTGATTCTTGTATGTGAATGTGACTGACCTCAATCTCTCCAGTTTACAGTGTGAATCCTTCAGTACGGCACATAAGTGCTTCACTCCTGTGTTTCCTAGTTTATTCCAGTTCAGGTTCAGCTCTCTCAGGTGTGACGGGTTTGATTTCAGAGCTGAAGTCAGGATGAGACTCTGTTTCTCTGTAATACTGCAATCACTCAGACTGAAGACAGAGAAATAACAATAGTTCACATCTATGATGATCATCTTATTGAAGAGCTACAGCAGCATTTAGTTTCCAATAGTCAGTTTTAAAACCCAGTCACACTAGTTCTGTGCGCTGGAAGACACTGTTTCTTCTCTTTCATTTCTAACGATTTATTTGTCGTCTCTCTTCTTTATTCTCTGTTGAAAATGCAGATTTCTGTGCGTACACAATCAGTGCATTGTATCAGATGCTGGGAATTAAAAAAAATACAAACTACACTCTACTAACTAGATAAAAAACTGTGAAAAGATAAAGAACTATATAAAAAAATGTGAGCAATAAGTAAACCCCCAGAAAGTGCACTGCTATAACCAATGAAACATAAGCCCTGCTGTCTTCAAATAAATAAACTTCAGTCACACTGTAATTGCTGTACAGTATAATGACACTAACTGTAGTTTCTCCAGCTTGAATTGTGGGTTCATCAATAGATCACTGAGGTTTTTCACTCCAGAGTCTCCTAGATTATTCTCGCTCAGGTCCAGCTCTCTCAGGTGTGACGGGTTTGATTTCAGAGCTGAAGTCACATCAGAACAACCTTCATCTGTCATATAACAGTAGATTAACCTACATTAGCAGAGAGAGAGAGAGAGAGAGAGAGAGAGAGAGAGAGAGAGAGAGAGAGAGAGAGAGAATGAAGAAAATAAGAGACTCTTTATTCTGTAAAGTCACATCATCTTCATCAGCAAATAAAACAGAGGAAGAGAGATCTTCATCTTCATCAGATCACAAAATACTAAAGTGAAAATGTTTGTAGAAATGTATTGTGAAATTAGACTCTGTGAGATATTGCGTATAAATATATACTGATATATTGAGTGAATAAATGAATATTGAGTGTTTTAGTTTAAACTTTTGATTCTTGTATGCATGATATACAATATCTGAGGTAGAAGTGTGCTTTCGGAGCGTGTGATTGGCTGAATGTGAGGTGGAAGTGTGCCTTCGGAGCGTGTGATTGGCTGAATGTGAGGTGGAAGTGTATGGAAGTAAAATAATGTCTAATGTTTTTGAAACAAAAAGCATATGAATTGCACCAATTCAAAAAAAAAGCATTGTGTTAACCCTGCTTGCATTTTAATCCATTGTATTTTTAAGGCTTATTATATGAATAGACATTTATAAGAACTAGTTGAACACTGATGTGCTCAATGTAAAACACTATGATCAATGTAAAACACTTCTTCTTCATTCATCATAATGAATTGGGCCTTTTTTGTTCAGGGTTACACTTACTACAGACATTACATACATAAGTGTGTTGTAAAATATTTGAGAATATTGTTTTTATACCCAGAAATACACGGTAACAAATATATTTTACTGTATTTTTCCCACAAAAACAATGGGAAATAGATCGCACATTTCATACACCCCATTCAACACAAAGTTGCACACACAGTGGTCTACATACAAAACAACAGAAAAAAATGTTTATGCTGTTACAGTAAAAATCTATGCTGCATCCTCTCTTCAGTTTTGGTATTTTATGCTAAAGCTCTGATTGCTAATTGTAAAACTGTGTGACATGTGTTTGTCCATGTGACGAGTCAGTGTGAATATTTGAATGTCAGTGTGTTCCTCGTGAAAAGAAGAGATTTTCTGCATGAAAATTGTGCCAAATGCAGAGAATTGTGTGTAGTGTTTTGAAAAAAGTGTGTTTTAGAGCTGCAATTTGAGTGTAAAGCAGGAATTGTGCTTGTTGTTCATCAGAATTGGTTCAGGGGGTTGGTGAATGAGTTACATGTTGTGGTCATTGTGTCTCAAGTACCAGAATTTGTGTGTAAACAATTGAGAAAAACTGTAACAGAAATGCAATATGACATCCATAACTATGTTCTCAGTGGTGTATAAAGAACTTACTTAATAAACCGTAATGTTTTTATTACCTTAGAATGAGACATTTATATCTCCATAACCGCGGGAATCCCCTTCTATGAAGGTCGCCATATCGTGACGTCAACTTTCTACCGTAGCCGAACGCGAACAAACAGTGCTACAGAACGCGTTTCGCCACTACCTTGAAAGAGAAGCAGCAGAAAGCTAGAAACTAGCCATAAACTCTGTGAGTAGTGACTTTTCCCTTGTGAGTAGTGTAAAATATGTAGTTGGGATTGTTTCATGTAGCTTAGTTCTCCCTCGCTGTGTTATGGGTTTGTTATGTGGGGATAAATGTGCTGTTATGTTCATAAGACAGCTGATTAGTACTCATGTCATTGATCGTAAAACAGTATGTTACAGGAATCACTAACCCGTCGGTCTTGTAAGAGATCTAAGTCGATCGCGAAGAGTTTTCAAAATCAGAGAAAAAGCCTATTGTGTGTAGTTTATGGTGTCTATGGGATGCGGAAATGCGCACGCTGTTACAATCATGTCATTTTTGCCGTGCACACCTTTGGGCTCATGCGGACACGTCGAGTCAGTGTAAACAAGGCTTTATGCTTTAACCAGTTCAGCCACAGTAACAGCTCATATTAGCCAGCTAAACTTTTACTACCCTGTTAGAAAAAATATAAAGTTGCATAGTTTCATGTGGTTCTTCTCCCTCGCTGTGTTATGGGTTTGTTATGTGGGGAGAAATGTGCTGCTGGTTACGTTTGTGAGACAATCAGCTGATCACTATTATTATATTAAATTATATATTAAAACCCTTGATCCTCACCTGACTATGGCTTTGTAAACTGTATCCATGATGTGGTTTATACTGGACTGTGGTACAGAAACAATGGCTTCTTCGAAAGGGAGGGGTGAGCAGTGGCCTAAGCCCTTAGTGCAAACCTGGTGCAAACTCGCAACCGAACCGCTAGATGTCGCTAAAAATCCCACACTGCACCTTTAAACAGGCCTATGAAAATTTCCATTTTAAAAACCTGAATTTCGATGAATATTTTTCAATGCTCACAAATTCAGATACAAAAAAATAAAATAAATCAACGTACAGAATTTCAGATAAAATAGATTCAGGTTAAATTATGAATTATGGGCATGCTTCTCAGAGTAGTAGCCATCAGCTTAAAAAAAACAATTTCTGGGTTATTTGGCTTGTTTGCTGTACTCCTTGTCTCACAACAGCTTTTAAACATTGTTTTGTTTTTTGTTATAAGTCATAAATGACAAGGAGGCAGCCTCTCGCAATGCAAATCAATGGAGACGGTTGGATTGTTTTTCTCCCCTGGTGGGGGCGTGAGCAGCCGGTAACAAGAAGTAGTCGAAGGAGAACGTCCTCGTCTCAGTTCTCGCGCATGCGCCCATAAGGAAGTAATGGAATAGTCGAATAAAGACGTTATTCATGTTTTTTTCGCAGAAAAAGTAGTCTCGTCGCTTGATAAACTTATAATTGAAACTTTAATGACTTTATGGGCCGTCAAGAGCCAGTCCCTTAGGCAGTCTATGAAGGAGTGATCCAGCTCTCAGATTTAATCAAAAATATCTTTATTTGTGTTCCGAAGATGAACGAAGGTCTTACAGGGTTGGTACAGGATGGGGGTGAGTAATTAATGACTTAATTTTCATTTTTGGGTGAACTAACCCTTTAAAGTCTTGTGCTGTTTTATAAAAGCACAAAGCCATATCATGGTTTCGATTTTAGTTTGTTGGCAAAATATAGCGCTAGAGACCTTAATGTTAGGGTATACATTTTACATCTCATATGTGTTGGGAAAAGGGAGAAGAGAGAGTTCAGTTAAAGACGGTTTCGAACTCGGGTCGAGAGCATCAAAAGCTTCAAGCCCTACGACCTGCGCCACCGTAGCTATTTCGTGACAAGCTTCTTTTGCTAAAAAGACAGACACTTAGTGCAAATATACGCTCCGTTATCTAAAAAGTAAAAAAAAAAAAATTCTTCCCCTCGCTTGGGCCCCAAGTGCGCATGGCCAACTTGCAATAAATAAATTTGATCAGATCGGCCCTCGCGGCCTCGAAACACAACCGGCCCACAGGGGAAACTCCCGACTCTCCCGATTGCCACTCCGCCCCTGGTGCCCAGGACCCCTTAGATGTCATGGGCCCCTTAGAGCCCAGTTGCCCTAATGGTTAATCCAGCCCTGGTGGTCTGTGAGTGGTGTGTGCATCTGGCTCCTCCTAAACGGACATCCTTTACTGTTCTGATCGGACAATCTTTGGTGGTTGCCACCGGGTATTAATTAGCCCTAAGAGCATAATAATCCTTTATGCACAACAACAATAAAATAGCACAATGACAGGATTAATATGGTATACCCACGTTGTAACAAATAAATAAAAGATCTTTTTCACAAAAGTTATCTTGCACTTTTGCCTCCGATATCGCCCTGTCAGTCATCGCACCTCACTCTAGTCATGTGACTCCTGTGGCTCAACTTACCTCAGTATCTCCAATTTACACTTTATATTCTTCAGTCCAGTGCAGAGCAGCTTCACTCCTGAATCCTGCAGCTTATTATTGTTCATGTTCAGCTCTTTCAGATTGGTGTCTGATCCAAGAACTGCAGCCAGAGATGAACAGCTTTTGTCTGTTAAGTTACAATCATTTAACCTACAATAAAGTCACAACACAGAATTAGATTGAACACATACAATACATTTTCTATATACTAATATTAATGAAATTTTCCACTTATTTTTTACATAAACAGCATATACAGCAAAGAGGCCGAGTTAAACTAACATTTACCTTTAAAAACTACAATTTCCTCAACAATAGTGTTTTTTATACAGTGACAAATTTCCAAGACAAAATGAAGCATGTTTGAAAAAATATTTGTGTAAAGCTGTTATATCTATAGGATATTTTCTCTATTTATGTCACCTGATAGAGTTTAGGTTCTTGCCAGTGTTGCCTCTGTCTTTCTTAATTGGGGACACTTAATATTAGGGGTGTGCACAAAAATTTATTCACATTTGTATCGCAATTCAAGCTTTACCGATTGAAAAATCGAATCGATTAATAGAATTCCAGAAAAAAAGATTCATATATATATATATATATATATATATATTAGGCATAACATTTTTTTAAAAAAGTTTGGTTACGGTTGGATGTCAGTTGGATGTCAGTTGAGGTCATGGGTTGGTAGGTTTTTTTTTTTTTTTCTCCAGTGGCAGCAAGGGATAGAAAGGAAAATATTTTTTATTTTTATTTTTTTTTATTTTACTTTACAGTAGCGATGGATAGGCGACTCTGTTTTTTCAATAACATAGCCTACCTGTACATGTACTCTACCACCTTGTGTGTCCCAGCATGTTACACACACACAAGCTGATTTTAAATGTGTGCGCGGGGGGCAAACAGGGTTGCCTTATTGTAAAGTGTTATCAATTAGTTATACACCGATTCAGACGTCTCGTGAGTTCAGTGTAGGGAAGATTAGTTGCTTTAACCATTCATTAAAATGAATCGGTTCAAATGAGTCAGTTTGCGAATTGGACACGTCATTATCGGACGTATGCGCGTTGTGATATTATCCCGGCGGTCTGGACATCCCACAGGATTTGTGTCATCACAGAAAACATTTCATCACTGGATATTTTTTTCGTTTATTTAAAGTGTGGTTTATATGTCAGCTGAATGTGTGGAGTGCTTTTCAGAGAAGATAAGGCAACGTATATTCCCTCCCAGCGGTAATTCAGGAAAAAAATAAATCTCCGAATGATCCACATGAAACTTTAGTCTTCCGACCTTGCCATCATCTTGATTTATTTTGATTAATATTAGGGCTGGGCAATATATCGAACGATATTGAATGCGCATCTAATCAGTAAAGCCGGTTCCTTGATTAGCAGTAAATCACCTTCACCTGCTTTCAGATGGAGCGGCATTCACTACAAAGAGCCGTAGATCACTGACAAGCTGAGCCAAATCGCGTTAATATCGAGGACATATCGATATCGATATTTAATGCGATATGGCTCAGCTGGTCAGTGAACTACGGCTCTTCGTCACGACGAAATCTCCCGTGTTAAACTAACACACCTGGGAGTGTATATGAGTCCACACTCAAGAGTGTTAAAGTTAATGAGATTATTAAGTGATTAAATGAGTGATGATTGAGCATTATTGAAGACACCTAAAGCAGAATCACAAGGAAAAAATCTCAAATTTTAAGCCACCGTTATGGAGATGAGTGTTTGCTTTAGTTGGGCTCTTGACCCTTATATTATTAACTTTATATTTTAATTTGCTGTTGCATCTGAGTTATTTCTATCTATCAGATGAACAAAAATAAACAATAATAAAATGATTTTGGTCATATAATGACATTTATCATTTGAAATTTATGTAATTATATATATAAAATTTATAATAAAGTTTATTTATAAAATTTATAACATAATTTATTATATGTATAATTTATATTATTAGATTCTGAATAAATGTCCAGAATGTTAAATATAATAGACAGTTTTCTGATGCTTAGATGCTTAAAAGAAAAAAACCCTTCCTTTAGGCACACACAGACCTCAAGATTCAGTCAATGCTTCTCAACAACGGTGACGAGTAGAATATTCAAGTAGGAAAAGTAAATTACATAGACAATTCAGATCATAATTTTTTCAAACCGCAATGCATGATGGGAGCCATTAATGAGTTGTGATTGGTGGCAAAGAGGATTAATTTCGCCACCACAGTTGAGATAGACAGGCTGATTATTGATCTCTGTGTTTCTAAATCAGCATGAAAGTGATTGGATCAGAATAATATTTATTAATTAATTTATGTTAAAAGAAAAATACAGATATACAGTACAATGACTAAAATCTTGCTAACAAGTTAAGCCAAATCATCTGAAAAGTTTCATTTTATAGATCACAGCATGATTATGTCAAAACATAACCAACACTATAAGATCAAAGATGTCTTATTTGACTGCTATTAATCAATAATAAAGCAGACACACAAAATTTAAAATGTAAGTATAAGTGTCAAGAGCCCAACTAAAGCAGACACTGATCTCCATAACGGTGGCTTACAATTTGTGATTTTGTCCTTCAGCGATTCTGCTTGTGATCATCAGGTGTCTTCAATAATGCTCAATCATCACTAAATTAATCACTTAATTATCTCATTAACTTTAACACTTATATCGTCCATTTGAAAGCATGTGAAGGTGATTTACTGCTAATCAAGGAACCGGCTTTACAGATTAGATGCGCATAACAATATCGTGCGATATATCGCCCAGCCCTAATTAATATGTGCGAGGGAGAGAGAGCAAGACTTAGTTGTGAAACGGGACTCTCTCTCTGTCTCTCTCTCTGCTGGTTCAGTTCATGCTGTCACAAGCGCAACAGTGCATCTACATGACAACAACGATGTGTTAACGCCTGTGGGTGCCTCGTTTTTGTTAGCATTGCTGGAGACAACAGGCTATACAAATACGGTGCTGTACAAAAACATAAATTCTAGTTTGCCTCAAAGGTTTTATTTGTGTATTTACTTAATTTGTATTATTTCTTCCCCAAGCTCATAAAATAAATTTGGGTCGCACATAAATTGACAGGGTCGGTTGGAGACTGGAATTGAACATTTTTTTTTTTTTATGCCTTAGTGGTGGGCATAGATTTTTTTTTTTATCTAGATTAATCTCACAGTAATCTTGGAATTAATCTAGATTAAAATGGCTCATTTGAATTTATGAAGGCATTCAGGCATTGAAGGCATTCAGAATATGTATGATACCCAAATAAATAACCTTGCAGGTAGTTTGTAAGATGAGCAGAGGCGGAGCTAGACTCTTTATCATGGGGCTCTCTGCTACCATATGTAATAAAGTGTCACTTGTTGAGCAAAGTAAGCTTATGTTAAATTAAACACAAAGACTATCTCGTTCTTTTCCTTTTAATGCACCCGATTTATATTTTCTCTCCATTTTCGTAATTATTCTCTACATTATACAGTCGTACCTCATGGCACCCATTGTACTCCTGAGGCAAGTAGGCCTGCCTTATCCACTGTGTTTCGGTTCATTTATGACTCACAAGACAAGCTTCAGTTCACACGCTGACGCTTCCGTGTCGTGATTATCTATTGTCTGCTATATTTATTTCTTATTTATTAAATCCAGGCAATTGGTTGATAAAACATTGATTAAAATTAACATACAATTAATACAAAATGAAATTCAACTTAATGAAAGGCTTTGTGCTTTATGTTTAATGTGAAAGTTTTAAAGCAGTCTTTCAGTGTCGCTTTCAGAGTGGTCAAGTCCGTAACGGGGAACTGTCACATAACATCGTTTTTCCCTCATAAATGCGTACATAAAAAATAATACAAAATTAATATTTTATGTTCTGTGGAGAGCCAACCTTTCTTCAACTGATGGGTATTATTACTTTTTGTACACCTAAAGGTTTGTTTTTTTGTGTGTCACGTTCGTTACAGATGTGTATTTCCCTCATATTAAATATAAAATGCATTGACTGATATTTTCCTAATGTCTGGATAAACAGATTGGTATTAAATGCCTCTTACAGTGCAATTCGGCTAGGTATACATCTGCGCTAAAATATCAAGGTAAAAGTCATCATAGCTTGTATAGTATAGACCCAGCTCCCAACCCAACTTTGAGAATAGATTAACGGCAATATTTTTTTATCGCTCGATAAGAGTCTCACTTTAACGCAGCAAGTTAACGCCGATAACGGCCCACCATATTATATTTTGTAATGGCGTGCAGGGGCGGAGTGGCAATCGGGAGACTCGTAGTTTTTTGAGGCCGTGAGGGCTGGTCTGATAGTAGTGATAAATTGTAAGTTCTTAGCAACAGCATCCGGCGGACTGGTGTGCGGCCGCTGCCTGCTGGTCAAACTGTGCAGCCTCTCTGCTCAACCCCAAAATAAATGCGTCGATCCGCATATTTTGTTTGAGTTCTTAAATGGTCTAGTGCTAGATCTTTTGTCTTATCTGCACTCATATAGTTTTTTCCTCTCTCTCATCAAAACCGAATATGTTCATCAGTGGTTACAGTCTATATCAAGCAGGGACACATTTATGTGCATTTTATTTTGTGATTTCATCGGCAATAGATTGAAGAGTGCGTCCGAGTGAAGACTGTGCGCGCACCACAAGAGTATGAAGTACCAGGTTGACTGTTGGTTAAGTTCTTCATTTAGCATGATTGTTTGTTTGATCTGACTACAGCACTTTAAAGCTAAATATAAAAGCTGTTTATTTAAGTTTTATTTTAAACTTAAATTAAATGTATTTGAAATCTGGCCAAAGCTTGGCATTTTGCACTTTTTAGTTGCAAAAGTTTTTATTTTTGTATGAAGATATAATGTAATAGCAAAATACATTTAATTTGTTGCGTTTCTTTTCTTTTAAATTGTATGTCTACTGCAATACTGTTTTTGCAAAAACTACAATAAAACCTGTTGGAAAGCATCTTTTGCAGTGATTTTTGTGTAAGCATATCAGTGAACACCCCAGACCCCTCGGTGAGTTTCACGTCTTAGTAAACTAAAGTTTAATGCGTTTTATGAATGATTGTTCCAGTGTACATAGACAACCATTGTGTAGGTGGAGGGTGTTCACACACAAACCTAAAATTCTCGGCACAGCAGCTTTTGTCCAAATTTCAATCTTAACCGTTCTATTTCATCAGAAACGATCTTAAAACAGGGCTTTAAGTGTAAAATACCGAACTAACCCTTTAAACTACAGAAGTACTCATAGAAATAAGCATTTAAATATATAATTACTGGGAGAAACTGAGGGACAACTAGTATATGATGTGGAGATATATGTATTTTATTTTAGTAGCCTGTTTTATAAAAATCTCAATGTTTTAACCTTTCAAAATTTCATATTACGTTTTGGCAATATAAATAACATCTATTCTATACCAAATTACATTATTTCCCCTCAGTTTGGGTATATTAATAAAATATGGATTTTTTTTCTACCTCAAGTATGAGTATGTGATAATATAATTCTATATAACAAGTCATACAAGTCTGGTGTATCATATGATACAAAACAATCATGCAAATATTTTTACAAGATATTTAATATTTTGTCTTAAATTGTGATAAACTGTCTCCACACACACACACACACACACACACACACACACACACACACACACACACGCAGGTATAGCTTTATGTTTATGATGGGGAATCAATATATAGAGATAAATGCATTTTTCAGATGACAAACATGTAAAACATGACAAAATATATAAAAGACTTACAGAGCTCTTCTGGAGGCTTTAATGACTGCCGATAATCTAATGAGACACTCGTCTGATTTCTTGAATTTCTGAAGCTCAAACTCCTCCAGCTTTTCCTCTGATGTCAACAACACAAAGACTAAAGCAGACCACTGGGCAGGTGAAAGGTCAGCAGATGAGAGACTTCCTTTGCTAAGGTGGGTCTGAATCTCGTTCACCAGAGTTTGGTCGTTCAGTTCATTCAGACAGTAGAACAGATTGATGGATCTCTCTGCAGGAAGATTAGCTTCTAATTTCTTTTTAATGTACTGAACTATCTTCTTGTTGCTCTGGTCAGTGTCGTCTCGCTGTGTCAACAGACCTCGTAAGAGTCGTCGATTGGACTGGAGTGACAGACCGAGGAGGAAGCGAAGGAAAAGGTCCAGGTGTCCATTGTCACTCTCCAGCGCCTTGTCCACTGCAGTCTTGAGAAAATCAATCATGGTTTCATTTCTGTTTTTCTGTTCTGTAGACTCATGATCAAACACACTTGTCTTGTTGATGTCTAGAAACAGATGTGCATAAAGGGCTGCAATAAACTCTTGAATGCTCAAGTGAACAAAGCAGTACATGGTACCAAGAACGATCCCTGTCTCCTCCTTAAAGATCTGGGTACACATGCCTGAGTACACTGATGCCTTATAGACGTCAAGACCACAGGCTTCCAGGTCTGAGTCATAGAAGATCAGGTTGTTTCTTTCCAGATGATGAAATGCCAGTTTCCCCAGTGAAAGGATGGCGTCTTTATCCCAGGAAACATCTGGTGTGTATTCTCCATCATATTTCCGGCGGCTCTGCTGGATCTGAAAGCGGAGAAAGTGTGTGTACATTTGTGTCAGAGTCTTGGGAGTGTCTTCAGTGTTTGATTCCTGCAGTGTTTTAGAGATCTCATCAGCCTGAGTGTTTCTCACATCATTATTTCTCTTCTCCTCCAGAATGTTCTGGAGAACAGTGGCTGAAATCCAGCAGAAGACTGGGATGTGGCACATGATAAAGAGACTCTTTGATTGTTTAACATGATCTATGATTGTGTTGGCTTGAATATCATCCTTGAATCTTTTTTTGAAGTACTCTTGCTTCTGTGCGTCGCTGAATCCTCGTATCTCTGTCAGCCGGTCGATACAGTCAGGAGGAATCTTACTGGCAGCTGCTGGTCTGCTGGTGATCCAGACGAGAGCAGAAGGAAGCAGATTTCCCTTCATGAGGTTCGTTAGGAGAACATCCAGAGAGGCTGGTGACGATACATCACGCCACGTCTCATTACAATCAAACTTCAGAGGAAGGCGACATTCGTCCAGTCCATCAAGGATGAACAGCACTTTGAACTGATTCCTTCTTGTAAGGTTCAGTCCTTTTGTCTCTGGGAAAAACTGAGTTATAAGGTCCATCAAACTTAGTTTTTCTTTCTCCTTTAAGTTCATCTCTCTGAATGGAAGAGGAAATATGAAGCTGATATCTTGATTTTCTTTTCCTTCAGCCCAGTCCAGAACAAACTTTTGCACAGAGACTGATTTCCCGATGCCAGCGACTCCTTTTGTCAGTACAGTTCGGATCTCCTCGTCTTGTTCAGGCGCTTCAAACAAATGTGTGCATTCAACCTGTATCTCTTGTGCTTCATGACGTCTGGAAGCAACTTCAATCTGTCTCACCTCATGTTCAGTATTGACCTGTTCACTGCCACCCTGAGTGATGTAGAGATCTGTGTAGATGTTATTCAGGAGTGTGGAGTCACCTTGCTTCGCCATTCCTTCAAACACACATTGATACTTCTTCTTTAGGCCACATTTCAGCTGATGAATGAGGAACAGCTCACCTAAACACAGGAAGAGAAAATAGATAGTTTTATTCTTCATTTTCTCTCCTACATTTATAAGAGACAATCAGACAGATGATGACGAGTCTCTTGCCTTCTAGAGCATCAGCAGCTTCATCTTGCTTCATCTCTCTCAGGTAATGTAGTGTGAGATCAAGAGCTGCTGATTTGATACTGGATCTGTTCTCATTAAAGTCCTTCACAAAGTGTTGTGTGTTCTCATGTTGTAATATTTTCTTCAACTTCTCCAGTTCATTCTTCAGAAATGTGATTATTTTCCTCTCAAGATCCTACAAACAAAAGTAAAAGAAAAGGCAGAATACAAAATTTAAGCCAAATTGTACATCTACATTTGGTATCAACAATTTATTCAATAATTATGATCCATGTATATAAAAAATCCAGTTAAAAGAATAACATGCTAACCAAGTTGTGCCAAAATGTGTTTAAAAGAAAAAAAAAAAAAAGATTAATTAAATTTCTTTGGTCAAGAACATATTTGTTTGTTATAAATATTAAACATTTATAAAAATGTGTTTTCCTACCTGGAAGATCCCAAGAAGATTGTCTTTGAAATTCTCGTGGTTCCTGTGAGTCTGAAGATCTGAGTCTAATGTCTCATATTGAAGCCTGTAATCACATTAGTAAAATAAAATACTAACTGATATTTTACAGAAAGAGAAATAAGCATTAGCTGTGAATACTCTGACAAATATTTCACCTAAACATGTTTCATGATTGGTATTCACTGATACAACTTTTAAAGAGTCAACGTGTGACAAAATGAGTAACACAAAATACCTTTTATTAGATGATGGTGTTTTCTCACTGAAGTTTGGTGGTCTTCCTTCTTTAGACTGATCACTCTTCAGAGACACAGAGCTGGACACATGTGAGCCTGATCTTACACTGATGACACAAAGAACATTTGAAAAGGTTTAATATTGCAAATAGTAATTAAATGCAGTATAGCTGTGCATTTGTTCATTTATAACTACGGTTTGTAAGGCCTGCTAAATCGATCCAATGGCGGTATTCGATTAGAGGTGAAGGTTTCATCCGTGTTCGTCTCTTCCCATGGCAAAGGGATTTTTTTATTAAATGGAATACATTTTATCTTATGTATTAACTCGCCTCATCTGACTCCATAAAATGAAAAGGTTTTTCAATGATATCTGTGCATCATTAAATACATGTTAATGTTTGACTATTCCTTTTAACTCTAATGAAAATAAAGTCAAAATCTGTTTATTTTGACAATTTATTATGTCAGGTAAATGTATAATGTCAATTTCACAATCAGTTCAAAGATCATCAATCCAAATAATCAAATGGTCCAGAATAAGAGGAAAAGATGTGAACCCAACATTGTATGCTACGTGAGCTGAGAGTCACGAGACCCTCAACCACACGGGCTAATCTGAGTACAGAAAAGAGCCCTGAGCTCTCCGTTGCATTTCTTTATATATCCAGACCTCCTTTGATATGTAGAACATGAGTTTACAGTGGGAAAGTTACTGAAGCATCGGCCAGATTTACTGGGGTAGAAATTACTGGGCTGACCATTTGAAAAGGAACAGTGGAAATTAGCATTCACAAGTTTTGCATTCACCTTTTGGAAGTCGAGACCACATTCCTTTGTGTGCCAGTTATTCCTAAACTCTTAAAAACCGTATTACCTTTTCTTTTACTAATTTGGAAATAGAACACTTGAACCATTCACACTGAGACATTTCAACTAATACTAAACATATGTATAAAACTTTATGATAGTTGTTCAGATTAAACCATATATATTCTTATGTGAGTTTGGCTGATCAAACAAATGTCCCATCTCGTTCAGGCGGCAATCGCGTTTCGGAGTCGGGATAGACAGAATTGTCATTTGCATGGGCCAGCATTGCATCATGAGTAACTACAGTTTACCATTTTGCACGTCTTAAGTCTTACCAGTTAAAACATTCAGGCGATCTTGAACTGTTTGGTAGACTTGCGCGCTGTCTGAGAGATGTTTTTTTTCTGCACACATACAAGCCGCCTCACACTCTCGCGGGTAACAACAGTTATTTTCGTGGATTATATCGCGTTAACAGCCAAAAACATGCGACAATTATGTATATTTCAGTCTTGGTGACTGGTGTGTATCCTCTAAACATCTTGTTTTAAATAAGCATACATCGCACGTGACATTATGTTAGTGGCTACAGGATCTGTGCACAAGCTCTTCAGTGACAGCAGCCATGGTCTGTCATTAATCTGGTTGTCAAATTCAACAAAACATGGCTTTCATTTTAAGGAATCAGGAATAATATACTATGTATTTAATTTAGTTTTCAGGACTAAAACACTACCCAGTGTTATTTTACATTTGATTACTTTATTCAGTCTCTGTAGGAATATTTCTGAAAACTGGTGTCAGACCAGAAAGCAAAAACTTTTCTCTTTATATGTAGGCTATCTATATTCTATTTTTTCAATTCTATTCAAAGATTGAAATCAAGCTTCCTTGTGTTGTGTAAATTCTTAAGAACAAAATTACCCCATTGTAAAAATGCAATGAATGAGCATTCATTTTAGGAGATAAATGTAATAATAATAAAATAAATAAAGAGTCTAGACTCCCCCCTCAAATTAAAAATCTGACAAACAGTTTATGACATCCTTCCAGAACTTGTGTATATCAGAACATTCCCATAGACAGTCACAGTTCCTTTATTATTTTGGCATTTTGTATATACATCAGGAATATTGCTAGACATATGATTGAGTTTTTCAGGTGTTATATAAACCTTTGTCACCATACTGTAATAATTTAATCTGCGTGTTTATAATTTGTTTTTGCTCCTACTTCAGTCCATTCAAATTCCCCTATTTCTTCTTGTCTTGAATGTCTTTCCTCCATGTGTTTAATTTGTCTACAGCAGACTCTTTAGATAAATAATAATTTGACAAATGGCCCTTTTCACCTCTTTTTCCAATTATTTCCTGACAGTTTGGGAATGTACACATAATATCTGTAGACCCGGAAGACATAAAACTTTTAGGCTGTGAATATTTGAAAAAAATGTTTTGAGGGAATCTGGTGTTTATAACACAATTCTTGAATGTAAGAAGTATTTCATCCATACACAAGTCTTTAATAGTCTGAATACCTTTAGTTTTCCATAGTTTAAATCTTCGGCCTTATATTTATTATTATTTATTGTTAGACAGTTTCTAACTGGTCTTGATGAATGTGAAGGGGTCATGTTTGCCTTCATGTTTGCTATTAATTACAACAGTTATAAATGTAAGCTATTGTATTTTGCTGAAAATCTTAAATGTGTTGATTAAATGAAAACAGGTTTACATAGTTTACTGACACCTATTGGTTATTTACTGGTTCTACTGCCTTAACAATGACACTCCCAATGGATAAGATGAGGATAATTTAATAGCATTTAATATAGCTCCGTGTACGTATGAATAATGAATATCAGAAAATAGTCTGATAGACTGTTTAATATACAACACATGACTTATTTTGGCATACAAACAACCAATTTGTAACCAAAGACTAGGCTATGTAAAAGCTACTTTAATTAGTAACTTTTGAAAGTTTCAGATTTCAATTCATAAATAACATAGATAGAGGGGGGCCCAAAAAATGCAGTCTGCCTAGTGTAGTCCTTTTATTTAATCCGGCTCTGAACACACACAATACCTTTTATTAGATGATGGTGTTTTCTCACTGAAGGCTGGTGGTCTTCCATCTTTAGACCGAACACTCTTCAGAGACACAGAGCTGGACACATGTGAGCCTGATCTTACACTGATGATGACACAAAGAACAGAGAGAGAGAGAAAACACTTTAGTAAAGGAGGATCAACTGTGTCTGAAACACATCTGTGTCTTCATCTAATCCTCCACAGAAACACACACACCCACACAATGGGCTATATGCACGCATAAGTTCCGCATTTGACGCAAGGATGCTCGTCTGTTTCCGGTTGGGGAGATTAAAGTGGAGGAAAACCGAGGAAAACGGGATTATGGCAGAGTCTTCAAAATTTCCTTTCCTCCCGTCTTTGAAATGAAACTTTCATAGGTTTAGACGTAATTTTATATATAGTTGTTTATTTAATATAATTTTAAAAGGAAGCATAAGCACAACCAAGGGTCTGTTTTATCTGTTTATGTGACTAATGTTTCTTTACTATAACCATGGAGTATAAAATTCAATATAAATTCTCGGTATTGCATTGGACTCTACGATCGGCGGGAGTTATTGAGCATCCTTAAACCTTCTCTGGAAATACCGCCGTGCATAGAGCCCATTAACAGTTTTATAGTTAACCATCATTTTATTTACTGGCTCACATTAGGCTTAACAATTTCTTTAATATACATGAGTGAGATTAAACATGTTGGAGATTTATAAGATAATTGACCATAATTTAAGATAACATTTCAAGTTTTTGATTATTGACAGAATAGAGAGCAGAAATGTCTGTGTGACAGTTTTGTTAGCATACTTGAATTAAATTAAGTGTATAGTTGTTTTCTAATGTCTATAAATAATTTTATGATCTAAAAACTAAAGTAATTTATTTGGATTAATTCAGCGTCTCTAGAAGGTTATTAACAAATTATTAACTGTGATATTTTCTATAGAGCAAACAGGGCTTTATGGACACTGGCAGAGTTACTTTAAGATTTGCAAATACAGTGCAAAGCTTAAAATTGTTATTGACAGGGAAACACAAAGTCCAGTGGAGTTTAAAGTGAGAGTGTGAAAACAGACGCAGTCTCACCTGTGTTTCTCTGAGAGACTCATCTGAGAGAGAGAGTCCTTTCCTCTTTCCTCTGACATACTGCAGCTAAACTGACCCTGAAAACTGATCAGAAAACACTCAATCCTTCAGCATCACCTGCAAATCACAACATTTACACACATCAACAACATCTTATTGAAGAATAAAGAGTTATCATCAACAACAGCAACAGCAAAAACAATCTATCAAATAAAATAGTTTTTGATTATTTAGGCTAATGAGTTTAACTGACTCTAAATATGAATTAATTGGGGAACAGAAATGTACACTGAGCTGGAAAACTGAACTCAATTTGATATATTCCCATAAGAAATTTTACCATGAAAAACTATAGTACGTACCATGGTATACCATAGTAGTACCATGGTATACCATAGTAGTACCATGGTACATACCATTAGTACCTCAGATGGTACCATGGTACATAGTATGGTACTGTAGCTGTTTCTAGTACGTACCATGGTGTACCATACTAGTACCATAGTACCTTCATGGTACATACCATTAGTACCTCAGATATTACCATGGTACCATGGTACATAGTATGGTACTGTATAGTACATAGTATGGTACCTTAGATTTACCATGGTACATACCATAGTACCTCAGATGTTACCATGGTGCATTCTGCAGTACCATATTACCATGGTACATTGTATGGTACTGTAGCTGTTACTATGGTACATAATATGGTCCCTCAGATTTATGGTACATACCCTAGTACAGATATAACCATGGTATATTGCATGGTACCTTTGTTTTTGTTTACAAAACAATATGTCATAATTTCTTCTTTGGTATTTATTTTATTTCTTGTTTGTGCTCTATCCATTGATTTATGGTCCTGAGCAAATAAATAAATAAATAAATAATATAAAACAACTCACACTGAGTATTATGAAGTACAAAAACACTGTAATCCCACGCAAGTACTATAGTAACTGATTGAAGAGGGTTCAAGCAACATCTAAAACGACCCTTTGTGTTACATAAACACAAAAATATACACATTTATATCATCATACATACACTTGTTTTCCTCAACCCTACTGCGTGGATGTGACAACTACTGTGAGACAATTGCATTTTTGAGGCTGGTGTTAGCTTGCGTTAATTTAACTCTGCTCAAACACAGGCATTTTCATCACATATAACTGACCCTCATGTTCAATTGCAATACACTTAGCTACTATGTCCTCACATGTCATTGCACACATTTCATTTGAAATCCTTACTTTCACAAGAAACTTTGCGATGTTTGTATTGATATCTGCATCATTGATAGCGGGTTGTCTGTGTTCCCGCTTTAGTTGCTTATAGAAAATAATAAGTTCTCTACAAGAGCAGTTAGACCCTCTTTCACAGTTACAGGGTTTTGGTACAACAACCAAGGATTCTACCATGCCAAAGCAATCAGCTGTTTTGATTACAGAATTGTTTCTTTTGAAATTGACGCTGTAATCTCTGGTGGTGACTAACATACCATTATACACGCAACGCTTATATACAGTTGAACTGTTCTCATGTTGGTACTCTGTGAGCGTAGAACTGTTTTGCAGTGCAGCAATCTCTCTGGCAGTTAACAGTCTGTGAGAGCCACACCCCAAAGTCACTAAATGTTCTCTGATGTAACATGAAGACTTCGTAACAATGTTGTCACCTGTCATGGAACAGAAAAAATCTTGCAATTCTCTGCTTGAATCATGAAGTACAGCATTTCCTTTCCTTACAACCTTCTGATATGAAAAGAAATGCTTAAAAATCTGTGACGAAACTGACTGTGTGCCAGAATACAGCTGCAAGAGTTTGCCATTCATGTCTTCAAAAACAAATGCTGAATTGGTCCATAGAAGACCCCAGTCCCTGGCACTCTGGGTAAGATGCGTCAACAAATGGCAGTTATATGAACAATGCTCGAGACCATAAAGAGCAGGCACTTTTGCTACAAACTGAACTAGACATAACTCTGCACAATTGAGCTCATCCTGTGTGGCAAACTGGGAGAGGAGGATGTGAAGTGCACATGCAAGAAGCATCCAGTGTTTGTAGTACAGCCCTGGTAAAACATTCCTAAGTACTACAGGAGAATAGAGGAGAGCAAATGCCCTCCACTCAGAAGCTTTCCAATATGTTCTCTCACTTAAGCGCCTAGGATTTCTTCTAACTTCATTTGGTGGCTGAATTTTACACAACACTTTGTCTAGGTCATTCATCTGGCGAGGAGTCAAGTGGAAGTTCTTGTTGGCATAATGAGGGTCAAACCAAAGATTGACAAATTGACGGACTACACCAAGACAAAAACAATGCATGTAATCTGGAATAAACCCCTTGATAATGTCAAATGATGGCAACAGGATCAGTGGACTTGGACCTTTAACACCCTTTGAGATTGGTCATTACCATTTTCCATCGCTAACTCAGCAAGTTGCACTGTTTCAGCCATATGTCTCAGGTCGCACCCAACTATGTGTACAGGATAAACTCTAGTGAAACCTCTGCCTTTTTGTACCATCTCCCCTTTGTGGTAGCAAAAACCACATCCAAATTCTCCATTGAACTGTTTAAAGTTCTGCACCATTGCCCTTGCAACTGCATCACATATACATATTTTAGCTGTTACTTTGGTGTGATGTTCTGACCCAGTTTCATCTTTCCAACAGAATCCTGTGTCCCTTAGTTTTTGAAGTTCACGGATGAATGGGGTGAAGAAACTGTGAACCGGGGGTTTTCCTTTGCCGAACCATAACGTATGCAATATGACGTTTTTACATCGATCCACAAATGGAAGTTCATTGATAGTACACAGAATGGGCCAAATTGAAGTCTTTGATGAGTTGAACACAGGGGAACCATCACAGTTGAAGGTTAGCGTAATACTGTCAGTGTGTACTCCCTGTGTCTCGCGTCTGTATTCCGTTCCAGTGTTGATATCAGAAACACAGCCATCTCTTGTGAAATGTTTCCGTAGCTTTGATTGTACATGGGCCAGGATATTTCTTAGCTGAACCTTGAGTGGCATGACAAGGAAATAGTATGCCTTCTCAATTAGAGCTTTTTTGTTGAAGGTCTGCTGGCACACTCCACACTCATTACCGGGTTCAACACCAAGGTAGTCTGAACATCTAGGACAGTAAAAATGAAGCTCTGTCTTGTCCTTGAAATCAAAAAAGTGTTTCTTTAAAAACCAAACAGACTTTGGCACACATCCAGGCACCACACAATTTAGGAGCTCCAGGAGGTCTTTGATCGCTGCTTTTGACAGGCCATGCTTCAGGATGAATGCCAAGAGAAGAAGAAGGAGAGCCCCCATTGTAACGGAAGAACCAGCGTAAATTTTCTTTTCATCATTGAAGTTAGGGTCAAAAACATGCTCCTAAAAATTACAAAGGAAAATATTTATTACCATCCAGTCATAATATATCAATACCAAACAAAATAAATAATTAAGAAAATGGGCTAAAATTGCCGCTGGATCACATACAGGTGCTCTTTGAATACTTCAGGTGTATAGGGATGGAATGATTACCGGTTTAACAATAAACCATGGTAAAAATCCCATTAGTAACCTAAACACAAATACATGGGAATATAGGGTCCAGGCAATTCTGAAATCCCCCATTGATAATGCTTTTGTTTTACATGACAATATGTATTTAACCCCCTGGGGTACTTAATTTATAACTCAAACTCAGAACTTTCGGGTCAAAAATAAAAATTTTCAATGAAGTCTCTTCTGCTGACCAAGGCTGCTTTATTTGATGAAAAAAAAATTGACAAACAGTAATATTGCGAAATATTATGACAATTTAAAATTACTGTTTTCTATTTGAATATATTTTGAAATGTAATTTGGAAGCTGAATTTTTAACATCGTTACTGTTGCTGAAGACACATCAGTTTTCAGTGTCACATGATCCTTCAGAAATCATTCTAATATGATGATTTTATGCTCAAAAAACATAAATTATTATTTTCAATGTTGAAAACAGTCGTGTTGTCTATTTTGGCGGTGTTCATATACCAAGTACCAATAAAGTCACCAAGTCCGCTAAAGTCCGCTAAAGCCACGATTTTTACAATTTTTTAAAGAATTTTATTTTAACACATTTTGGACCCGAAATACCTCAGTTGGACCTACAGTTGGAGGTAGGTCAACTAGGTCTACTTCATGTTTTTGAAGGAGACTTGAATTTGTATTTTGAGAGCAGATTTTATCCATGCAATGAGCTCTTCACATGATGGAAAAATAAATTGTTATTTTCAATATTTACACAAAATAAGTACATTAGTCTATATGGTAAAATGAAAATGAAAACAAAACACACCGTTGGACCTTCTGAAGTATCGTCGTCAGATGAAACTGGGTTAGTCTGTTCTTCGTGCTATAATAAAGAAAGTTGCAAAATACAGAAAGGAAAGGATAGGATAAACTTTATTTGTCTTGGGCAAAGTGCTACAGTATTACCCAACATACAACACAATACACAACACATCAATGTATACACAGCACAACAGTGTATGAAAATAAAATACAAGATATGTAAAATACTTAGTGCTACTGCTAGTGTGCTATAGGTACATTTTTCCGGGTCATATTTAACTTTTTTCCCCTTTCCTGAGAATGCCAATTTGTAAAAATAATAGATTGAAAATTTCATTTGGACTCGATAAAATTTTTTTGAATATGATCTGGAACAATGTACTGTACCTATAGCACAAAAATGCAGAAAGTAGCCAAATATATTCTGGAGATATAAATGAATGTGCAATAAATTAGCACTATATTAATAACACCACCAGAAACACTTATATATTATTTGCTGAACTGTTTTTGTCAGATACATCTTTACCTATCTAATAATGTAAACAATCATACATACCATTACATCTTCGTCTGCACTCTCATCTGAAGTGTCTGTGCCTCCCTCAACATGCTGTAATAGAAGAGCACAAGAAGTCACAGGTAAGCCAAACACCAGTGAGTTCAGTTTGTCTGTCCTCCTAAGTGGAACAATTACCGCATGACAAAAGAAAATGTACCATTTCATGCAGTGGATCCTGCCCTCTGTCATCTGATGACCCACTAGACATGTGATCAGCCTGAGAGACAGGAAAAGGCTGAATGACATAAGATGATTTTATTATTTGTAACTTTTTGTCTCTGTAATACATGACAGGCTCACACACCACTGGATCTTCATCTGAGGCTTCATCATCAGATGAGTCTGTATTCTCATTATCGTAGAAAACAGTGTTATTGTCCCTCACAGCAATCTGCAGCACAAGTCATACATTTTAAAAGGAGAACAATACAACTAATTTATCCTATGTGAACAACAACAATCACTGTGCATGTTGTACCGATTCATGGTGTTGTTCTATTCCTGTGTGGTCTGCTGGTCTCCCCAGTTGATTATCACCCTGAGAAACAGAAACGGTGGAATGTGATTCAACTTATGCTACAGTGATTTCTGTTTTAAATAGTAATAATAATAATGATGATGAAACAATCAATCATACATACCATTACATCTTCGTCTGCACTCTCATCTGAAGTGTCTGTGCCTCCCTCAACATGCTGTAATAGAAGAGCACAAGAAGTCACAGGTAAGCCAAACACCAGTGAGTTCAGTTTGTCTGTCCTCCTAAGTGGAACAATTACCGCATGACAAAAGAAACTGTACCATTTCATGCAGTGGATCCTGCCCTCTGTCATCTGATGACCCACTAGACATGTGATCAGCCTGAGAGACAGAGGAATGTGATTAAACTTATCCTACAGAGATTTCTGTTTTTGATAACAACAATAATAATAATAATAAAATAATCATACACACCATTACATCTTCACCTGCATTCTCATTTAGGGAGTTTGTGCCCCCGTCAGCATGCTGTAATACAAGAGCAGAGCATTTAAATGAGGACATTTATTGTAAACTAATGATTTATATGTAGGGATGTGATGAGAACTTGAGCAACAATTAAGATTAAAACATGATGAGATTTCTTGTCAGGTTAAAAGCTGCCTTGTGGTGATCAATACCCGGATCTAAAACAATGCCCATTCCTAATCAGTGAGGTAATGGGGTCACATGCACACTTAAAGGGGACATATCATGCAAAATCCACTTTTTTTTAGCCCTTAAATGAATTTTGTTGTATATTTGGAGTGTTTATAAGTACAGAAAAGATGAAATTATTCTCTTCAGGTGATTCGTTTATATCTTTATATTCTGTTTTGGTCATATTTTTCAACCTGTTCAGATTTTTCTGTTGTCTATGACGCTTTTTGAGCAAGTGCGTCACCGTATTTGCAGCGGAACTGACAAATAAGGACATTGACTAACACAAAACAGGTAACTCACATACCAATATTCATATGAAGAAGTGGTTGTTCTGCAGGTTCGTCGTCTTTATCAACTCGCTCGCTCTGGCTCGAATATGTAAGGCTTGATGGACAAGTCTTCTGTTGTTGACATTTTAAGTGTGAATAAAAATGTTCTTTGAAGGTATCGTATATAATCGTATATCTCTAATCAAGCTACAATAATGGCCGAACGTGGGGAGTTGAACCGACCGTGAACTCATCGACCTGGAGAGCGGGCGGGGTATGACGCATCTCCTTTTTATTTAAAGGGGACGCTTTGAAACGGGTCGCTCAAAGACGCACATCAGAAAAGGGGCCTGTGGAGCTATAATAATGAGGAATTCAGACCCAAGCACTGCAGTTATGTTTTATATAGACCACAACGGTATGATTTAGATGTAAAAATGAATGGTTTAAAAGCATGATATGTACCCTTTAAAGAGGTTACTTCCCCCCCAAACAAAGACACAACTAAGAGGGAAGACTAAATCATGACTCAGCAGGGATAATATTAAATAAGTTGATCTACAGGAAAAAACTGATCCGATCAGCAGCACAGAATGACTGAGTGCTGTACTGCATTATATGCATTATACTCTGAATTGTCACCTGTCACCAAATGTGTTTCTCTTTACATAAATAAAAACATTTCCACCATATATTGGTGCAGATTCACCAGAATGCAGGATCCCGTCTCGTTCTTGTGAACCCAACGTTTCGTCTCGTAACCCAAGTGTCTCATCACACCCATATTTATAAGTCAAAATAATTATTTTACACTGCCAACATAAAATATCTAATACTACTATTTGTTCAAACCTTGAGGCATCTTTGTTCTTCACTGACGTCATTTTGATCTGAGGGGGGAGTAACGGTAATAACAGCTGTTAGATATTTTTCATCGAAATAAACTTATTGACAAATATTGTCCTATCCTAACAAACCACACATTAATGGAAAGCTTATTTATTCGGTATAAATCTCTCTTTTTTAAACTGGACACATAAGACTGATTTTGTGGTCCAGGGTCACAATAGCTAATGCTAATTTATTAACAAATTGCTAATATGCTCACTGAAGAGAAACGTACGTACCTGGCGCACGCTGTGCTCGTGCTTCATTGTGGGCATTTCGGTATCGTTTTGTGGATCTCGGAATATCTACATCTAAGTCTGACAAAAATCTTTTGTACATCTTTCTCAAGTTGTAACCATATCCCGTTCTCTTACGAGAGGTTCTCTCGTATTGCGTAAGCTAGCTTACGCTACGGGAAAGATTCATCTTTGCTGAGAAGTTGAAGCCAAAAAATTATTCCATAATTTTGTAATCATTGTCAACGCAGTCTCCTCTGAGGCAGACCATGAGCGGGCTAGCTAGCGGCTCATTGGTTCGCTCAGAGAGAATGCACGAACCTATGGGAGAGCGGCGCTGAGTCCGCGGCCAATGAGCGGACGGCGCTCGCTCACTGCGTCACAGCCCGCCAAAAGGGGCGTGGCTACAGTGTATAAAGGTCGCTCTCCCAGCTCGTTCGTTGATTCTTGTTCATTCAGCGAGCTACACGCATCCGCTGTCCTGGGAAGAAGCCGCCGTCGTTGAGAAGGCACCGTCTAGCGAGCTCCGGAGTCTGAGGAAGCCGGCCGTCTGCCACCTTCAGCCGCCCAGCAAGCTAGCGCCATCCGACGCGTATCCTTTTTACTATTCCATATTCCTAAAAGAGCCGAGCGTCTTTTTCAAGATGCCTCGAGTTTCCTGCGGCTCATGCCGCTCTTCACTCGAGGAAGGAGACCGCTTCTGCGTTCTCTGTTTCGGAGTGGAACACGCAGAGCTCGCCAACGGAGGATGCGACCACTGCGAGGACCTGCCTCCGTCTTCCCTGCGGGCTCGACTACAGGCAGTCAGAACCGCTCCCGCGCCGCCTCTCACTTCGCCGCGGAAGAAGAAACGCCGCTCCCAGAGGCCGCCGGAGCCCCCTGCGGATCCATGTGGGCCGCCGCCGCCGCCCACCGACCGCTCTCCCTCTCCGCCCCTGCCGGACTTACAGTTGCCGCCGTATGGCCGCTCTGTCGCCTCCTACGACACCGCGGATGAGAAGGACTCTTGTTCGCTGCACCCTTCTGACAGCGAGGATTGGTCGTCGATCGGCTCATCGACGAGAGAGTCTGCGGGGACCCGCGCCGGCATCGAGGAGGATCTATCGCGCCTCCCTTCGCAGGCCTTCAACCGCCTGGGTCTCGAGTGGTCTCCTCCCCCGAGCAACCACCGAACCGGCGCTCGACCCCCGCCTGCAGCCGGGCTGCACCATTCCTGCCTGAGCTTCACTACGAGCTCACTAAATCCTGGAATGCCCCTCTTTCGGCTCGTATCCGCTCCGAGGGGTCCGCTTCGCTCAGTGGACGGAGCCGCCGAGATGGGTTATACTGCCATGCTGCCCGCGCCTTTGCCGCCGCCGAACAGGCCGCCTCAGCGCTGCATTCCATCCAGGCGCTCCAGAGCGACATCTTGTGCGAGATGGCGAACAGCGGTAGGAACCCGCCCATCCTTTCGGATCTGAGAAGCGCGACGGATCTTTCCCTTCGCGCCACTAAAGCCGCCGCACAAGCCCTGGGAAAATGCATGGCCGCCCTCGTTGTCACTGAGAGACACTTGTGGCTCACGCTCACCGATATGGGAGATTCAGAACGCGCCCTGTTCCTCAACGCGCCTATTTCTCCCACCGGGCTCTTCGGATCTGCCGTCACGGGCATCGTTGACCGCTTCTCCGAGGTTCAGAAAGCGACTCAGTCCATGAATCTGTTCTTGCCCCGCCGCTCTAGTTCTTCGACAGGCCGCTCTCACGAGCCTCCTGCCAGAACCCCACAGCAGCGCCCGCCTCAGCAAGCTCAGCAGCCCCAGCGTAGACAGGGCGGCCGCTCTCGCTCAGATAGCCGCCGCAGACAGCCTCCTCCCAGGGGGCCTCGACCCAAGATCGCGCTGAAGCCCGATCAACAGAAGTCTGCCTAGCACAGCTGAGAAAAGGACGGCTTCTCCCGCTGCGGCCGGATCGCCGTAAAAGCCTCGCCCACTGTTAGTCCCCGTCTCACCGCTGACTGCAGTAGTGTTTACCGCCACAAACAAGCCGGTTTCCCTGCCCGCTTGCGAGCGTCTAAAAGCCGTTTTCACGGCTATCCAGAGAGTTCACAAAAGAGCATAAAAGCCTCAAGTGTAATAAATGTGCCCACAAGCATGTGCTCACATACACACTCAAGCACCTTATGCCCAGGGTCTCTCACAGAGCCCATTCTCACGGAGCGTGCACTTTCCGCTCCAGCAGCAGAGAACATAAGCACGCCCACGAGCCCGTGCGCGTGTCCCCCCTCTGCCCGCTCTGTCACACGGCCCATAAAACTCCTCTCTGAGTGTAAGTCCCGTTGCCACCCACATTATGAGCGTGCCCACACACAGTGTCCAGCCCGCGATGTGCAGCTATCAGGGCAAAATCGCCATTCAACCGCTTACGAAGCGTGGGAAGCCATCCCTGGCATCTCCCCGTGGGTTTAAGCATAATAAAAGAATGGTTATCGATTACAGTTTCGTCGCCGCCCGCCACGCTCGCGCGTGCGGCTCGAATCCACTGTCAGCCGCCCGCTATGAACACGCTTCGCTTAGAAATAGCCAAGCTACTGCAGAAGGGCGCTATAGAGAGAGTCCCACCATCTATGACCGAGTCGGGGTTTTACGGCCGTTATTTTCTGGTTCCCAAGAAAGACGGCGGCCTCAGGCCGATCTTAGATCTCAGGGCTTTGAACAAAGCGCTCATGAAGAGACCGTTCAAAATGCTCACAGTCAGGAAACTCCTCGCGCACGTCCGCCAGGGGGACTGGTTCATCTCTCTAGACCTGAAAGACACCTATTTTCAGATCCAGATAAACCCTCATCACAGGCCATTCCTACGTTTCGCCTTCGAGGGCCAAGTTTACCAGTATGCCGTTCTCCCGTTCGGCTATCCTTAGCACCCCGTACGTTCACGAAGTGCATGGATACAGCGCTCGCCCCCCTGCGAAGTCAGGGGCTGCGCATACTGAATTATCTGGACGACTGGCTGATGCTAGCAGATTCCCAGACGGAGCTGCTGTCGCACCGCACAGTTCTCCTCAACCATCTGGAAGCGCTGGGACTCTCTGTCAACTGGACAAAGAGCTCTCTCCAGCCCAGTCAAACTATTTCGTTCCTTGGAATAGATTTGAACTCTATCACTATGACGGCTCGCTTATCCACACAGCGCGCGCGCCGTGTTCAGCGCCTAGCCGCCTCGTTCAGATGGGTACCCATACATCCCTGAAATCGCTTCAGAGGATGCTGGGTCATATGGCTTCAGCCTCCGCTGTGCTACAGCTGGGTCTTCTGCACATGCGCCCCCTTCAACTCTGGTTATAGAGCCGCGTATCCCACCACGAGTGGACGACGGGCCGCCAGATGATCAGGATTACTCAGACACGTATCACTGCACTGCAGCCATGGGCAGTAAGCGAGTGGTTTCAGAGGGGCGTTACCATGGGAACCTTCTCTCGCCGGAAAGTTATCTCGACAGACGCATCCAACTCGGGTTGGGAGCGGTTTGCGAGGGCTCACCGGCCGCCGGCCAGTGGTCGAGCCACGAGAGTTCCCTACACATAAACTGTCTGTATATGATCGCGGTCGAGAACGCGCTGCTATGCTTCCTCCCGCGCATAAACGGTCACCACGTCCTGATTCGCTCCGACAATATGGCCGTGGTATCATACATCAACCGTCAGGGCGGCGTCAGATCCAAGAATCTCTTTCATCTGACACGCCGCATCCTATTGTGGTCCCAGAGTCACCTGCTCTCGCTCAGAGCGACGCACGTGCCGGGCCATCTGAGCGACGGTCCAGACAGCCTGTCCAGGAACCTGGTCTCCCCCGGAGAATGGTCCCTGCACACTCAAACAGTCCAAACACTGTGGCGCCTATTCGGCAGAGCGGAGATAGATCTTTTCGCTTCAGAAGAGAACGCTCACTGCCCAATATTCTTTTCAAAGAGCGAGGACGCGCTAGCCCAGGATTGGCCCCGCCGCCCGCTCTATGCTTTTCCCCCGATTTCTCTGCTACCGCAGGTCATTCAGAGAATCAGGGACTCACGCCACTCGGTGCTCCTCATAGCCCCGCGCTGGGAGAATCAGATTGGTTCCCGGAGCTAACGCGGCTGTCACAGACAGCCCCGTGGCCCATTCCAATCAGAGCAGATCTCCTCACTCAAGCCCGCGGCTCGATCTGGCATCCCCATCCACAGCGCTGGGCGCTTCATGCATGGGTGACCAACGACTACGCGTCGAATTGCCAGAAGGGGTTTTGAACACGATCAAACACGCCAGAGCGGATTCTACCAGAAAGCTCTATGCTGCAAAATGGTCTGTGTTCTCCAAATGGTGCACCGACAAGAATTTGGACCCACGGACGTGCGAGGTTTCGTCTTTGCTAGTGTTCCTTCAGGAGATGCTGGATAAAGGCAGGTCCCCATCCACTCTTAAGGTTTACGTGGCAGCCGTCGCGGCGTTCGTTGAACCCCGGCGCGCCCAGTCTCTGGGCAAAGACGAGCTAATCATCCGCTTCCTCAGGGGAGCCAGAAGGATGAACCCCCCTCGCCCCCTACGGTGCCGGTCTGGGATCTTTCTATAGTTCTAGAAGCTCTGAAAGCCCCACCGTTTGAACCACTTGAGTCCGTGGAACTAAAATACCTCTCGTTAAAAACCGTTCTTCTGACGGCTCTCGCTTCAGTAAAACGTGTGGGGGACATTCACGCGCTGTCTTCGAGCGCCGCGTGCCTAGAGTTTGGACCGAGTGACTCCATAGTCATTCTAAAGCCTAGACACGGTTATGTTCCAAAAGCGATTGGTACCCCTTTCAGGGCGCAAGTGATCTCTCTATCGGCGCTGCCTGCATCCGATAGCGAACGAGACGCTGACCGCCTCTGCCCGGTTCGGGCTATCAGAGTGCACACTACACGCGTTGCCGCGTTCAGACGCTCGGAGCAGCTGTTGTGTCGTTCGGTGGCCGCACCAAGGGACTAGCCGCCTCGAAACAGACCCTAGCCAGGTGGATAGTAGACGCGATTGCCTCTGCTTATGCCGCTAAAGACCTGCCTCGCCCTCTGGGCATCAGGGCTCATTCCACCAGAGGCATGGCCTCGTCGTGGGCAT